TGACTTTGCTCTGGAAAACATCATTGAGAGATGTAAACGTTCCCACGCAGTTACCTAAAATTAGGGATAACAACTCAAATCTACAAAGGAGGTGCGAGAGGCAAACCACAAAGTTACAGGCCGGTTACATTATCATCACACACAATTAAAGTATTTGAGAAGGTTGTAGCCAGAAGGTTGGTGCAGTACACGGATGAAGTTGACATTTTCAACAGAAGGCAACACGATTTTAAACGAAATCGATCCTGTTTTACTCAGTTACGGGAGCATCACCTCCAAATCGTAGCCATGCTGGAGGAGGGGTCCGGGATGGACGTGGTGCATTTGGACTTCGCCAAAGCGTTTGACAAAGTGGACCATGGAGTGCTCTTCAGAAAATTAACATTACTGGGGGTCGGAGGTGAATTGTTGGCATGAATCCACAGCTTCCTAACAGAAAGACTACAAGCTGTAGTTGTTGGAGGCTCGAGATCGAGCGAGGCTGGGGTGAAGAGTGGAGTACCACAGGAAACGGTACTCGGCCCAATCCTCTTCCTCATTCACGCCGCCGACATATATATAGATGTGATAGTGAAACACGCCTCTGCATGTCATTCGCGGACGCCACCAAGATACTAATGACTATTACGGACATGACAGACTGCGAGAGGTTGAAAGAAGTCCTCTCTGCAAGATATGACTGGGCCCAAGTGAACAAGATGCAGTTCAACGGGACCAAGTTTGAGGTTCTGAGATACAGAGGTACCGGAAGGCTGGTATGGAGCACCGCTACCTGGCACCTGATAACTCGGAAATCGGAGAAAATCGACTCGTTCGCGATCTATAGGTGTGTTGATGGATACTCATGTCAACTTGTCAAGTTTGGTGTTCACATAGCGGCAATAACCGCAAGAGGTGCGCGACAGATGGGGTAGATCTTGCGGACGTTCAGAACAAGAGAAGCGGAACCGATGATCACACTCTTCAGAGCCCTTGTAATACCTATCACTGAATACTGCTGCCAGCTCTGGACCCGGCTGCCCAGCGTGACCTGGGTCTGCATTGTCCGAAACATATACTAAGGATACTACTGCGCACTGTTGNGTCTGTACTACTTTGAATTTTGGTGGGGTTGCTTCAGTGCTGCAAGCTGTGAGTGGGTCTACATTGCGGCGAGTTGAAACAACGGTTGTTAGGTAAATTAAGAAATGTTTTGTGCGACCTCTTTTCCTTAAATCTATTTGCGGAGTCAGAAAAGCTTAGATCTCTTATTGATGGCACCATCTCGAGGCATTTAAAGTCCTTAAATGAATAGTTGCAACATGTCCCGCCTCCGTATGTCTTGTGGGCAGTGGCCGGGTGTGCCACTGTATGTCCGGGAAACTTAATGATGCAAGGCTCAGGTTGAGAACCGCGAGCCCTCAGGCAGGCTCGGTTGGTGTCCTATGGGATTCTATCACGACGTTGACTCATCATAACTCAGCTCCTAAGAGAAATTTCAATCTGAAAATTCAATCTGTGAAGGCTCTGCGATGTTAAGAATCGGCGATGGGCCTGCGGCCTACTGAACGCTAAAACCGCTATTATATTGTGTATTATATTATTCTCTAGCTATTTATTTACAATTTCTATACCGAATAAAAAAATATGTAAACTTTGTAAAGCATCAGTTATGATAGAGGAGATGGACATCGATGTTCATTTTACATGCGACTTACTGAAAATTTGTTTGACATGTGGAAGCAGAATTATTTATTCTCTACTGATCATTATTAAATGCAAATCTGAATTATCCTCTATTTTAAAGATAATCCTTACAAAAATACTATTTATATACGTTCATACTCTCATGTGGAGTGAAAATACCGTAAACTAACTGTTCAAATACAGGTGTTGTGGAAAGTATGAGGGGAAACAGTTGTCGTAAATTACTTACCTGGCAGTCCACGCCGGGCGGTTCCGAGATGGGAACTCAATGAGTGGCGAGGAATAATACGTGGACAGTGGTCGGCCGAGACCAATTAATTCCAGATGACCGCTAGCCATTCCTCGGCCATCTAGCTGGAAGCCGCCAGTAGCCACAAAAAAAGGACTGGCTAGGATATCATATTACAAAGACCACAAGCGCGAGGGTAGCGACAGGCCGAGCTTAGGACCAATAAGGATTTTACACGATTGTCGCGAATACCTCGCACTCAGACTTCGTCGCATTCGATTACCAGACTTTTTAAGGCAGATCTGTCAAAGTTTCAGGTCTGTGGAGGATCGCGCTTCATTTACAGCTCATTTGGTGGTGAACGGTAGTGCGAAGGCTGCTTGACGCCCTAATGTTAGAACAAAAGGGATGCCCTAAAGACCCCAATTAAAGAGCTGTCTGCCCAATCTAACTCCTCTCGCCGCCCACTACGCCAGCGGAAGCAGCTCAGCAAAAACTCATCATTGTTTGTACTCGTATCATTTCATACCGAAGTTTAAATGCTGCTTTACAAACGAAAACCTTGCATAATGCGCCTTAATGAAAGTTGGGTATCTTTGAAATTCCCTCCTTCATTTGTTGGCTTCTCACAGGGTGGTCCAGGGGCTACAGTTCAGAGTGCCAAGTTTGGCGCAGAGAGGCGCGGGTTCGATCCCAGGTTCTGCGCGACAGTTTCTGGTCAGAATCGGCGAGGAAGCCGGGCGTTTAAGCAAAGCAAAATTGAAGCAGTGAGTTGCGAGTTAAAGCCCGCAACAAGCTATGGAACAAATTACTTGCGATGTTAAGTATTGGCACAGGCCTATGGCCTACTAAACGCTGAAACCGTTATCATATTATACATAATATTATTCTCTTTGTATTGTTAGATACGAAGATAAGATGACAGCGTAAGGGGCTTGCGTATTCTGGTTCGAAGCATTTCGTGTTTTATGCCAACCTACTTAGCCGCCTTTCCTGCAGGAGTCTTGGAGCTTCAAGCAGATAGTATTTCCCTCTCAGGTTTATCAATCTCGATTCTATATATCTAAAAGTGCAACTACAATGCTGCTGTTTTGCCTCAAGATCCCACCAGTTGTGTTCAGCTCCTAACATTCCCATATCCAGTGATAATATAGCACAGGGCAGAGTGGCCCAGAGGTTACAGTTCCGAGTACCAAGACTGGCGCAGAGAGGCGCGGGTTCGATCCCAGCTCTGTGCGCCAGTTTCTGGTCAGAATCGGCGAGGAGGCCGGGCGGTTAAAAATGCACAGCAGAATTGTTGCAGTGAGTTGCGAGGTCGAGACCGCAAAATGCTGTGAATGTTCTGCGTTGATAAGAATCGGGCGACAGGCCTAAGGCCTACTATCGGCAATCGGCGACAGGCCTAATTAAGGCCTACTAAACGCTGAAACCGCTATTATTATTTATTATTATAGCGGTCTCAGCGTTTATTAGGCCGGAGACCAGTCGCCGATTCTTAACATTGCAGAACGTCCACAGCTTGTTGCGGGCTTGAACTCGCAACTCACTGCTTCACTTTTGCTTTGCTTAAACGCCCGGCCTCCTTGCCGATTCTGACCAGAAACTAACGCACAGAGCTGTGATCGAACCCGCACTTCTCTGCTCCAATTTTGGTACTCTGACGGCATGCAAGAGGAGCAGAGACGGCATGCAAGAGGCTGCGATCGAAAGACGCTACCACCTGTAAACCGCTGCTTGTAACGGTGCAGGATACAGCCCAGGTCGGACATGTGCTTTAGGCTGCGAGAAAACTAAGTGAATCTCAAAGGCAAAGAAAGATAGCCTCCTCATAGGCGTCGTGTATAGATCACCAAACAGTTCTTCTCTGATAACGATAAAGTACTAAACAGTCTTTTACCGTGCCTGACTTTCCGTAGGTCACACACGTTGGTAAAAATCGTTGGTGATTTTAATCATCCAGAGCTAGGCTGGATAGATGGATCCTCTCCAAGGGAAGAGAATCACCCAGCATCCTTGTTCATAGAGTCAGCAAGAGACTCCTTCCTAGTCCAGCACATTTAGTCTTAAAATGCCTAGCAAATTACGGACCAGGCAATTAGTCCAGCAGCTATCTCAATCAATCGTCTGTTATGTAAAGATCGGGTTCCAAAGGCTGGATCCCTTGTGAATCAAATCACGAAGTCACGAAAAGTTCAAGAATCGGCAACAGGCCATGTGCCTATTTCTTCAATGCCGACTCTTCTATTCTATTCTAACTTTAACCACTGGTCCACCCTGCTTTACACCCTGCATGAAGTCCTCCATCATCCATGATGGAGGACTTCAATGCTACAATCCCCCTGCCGTCATCTCGCACTCCAGCTTTTGATGCTAATGGTCTTGCATTGGAAGATTTGTTACTTTCTGAACCGTTCTCATTCATATAAAAGATCACAAACAAATTGATCGCCGCATTGGTCTACTTTTTGTATCATCTGATGTGTCGCTCTGCATTAGTCGCTTCACTCGCTTGTATGAGGAGCGACAACAAAAAAGCCGGACTGCCTGTGGGGTGCGCCAAGTTGTGGTAGTACCGCATTCTCCAAGTATATGCATATGCTGCTGTCATTCATCAGTCAGTGTGCCAAGCATTGCTGCCCTAGAACTGAAGGTCGTGTACCATTATCACATTTTTTGTGACTCCTATTTTGCCCGCTCGTTATTTTTTGATGATTTCTGACTTTCATGAGCAAAGTGCTGCCATCAAATTTTGCTTTCTTCTGTGAAAAACTGGCAAGTAAATGCTACAGACAGCCTACAATGATGATGCTGTGGGAAAAAGGCCAGTCAAACTTCAAACAAGTAGATATATCAATTGACGACCAACTTCGCTCAGGCAGTCTTCCACTTACCGCACCGAAGAAAATGTTGTGAAAATTAGGAACCCTGGTTGCGTTCAAGTTATGCTGCTGCTTTTTCGACCGCTGGTATACAGCTGACCCAATTTGCTTCCGTAACTCTTAGCTTCCCGCTTCGTTCAATTTCTACGGATTTCGGACTTGCTTTCCATCCGAGGAGTTCGTCGATACCTCAGAGGCTCAGGTGTCAGGTGACGTGTACGTGGGAGCGGTGGGGCCGTGTGTTACGTGTAAGTATATTGTTCTGGAAATGTTTCGACTTCTGACGATAAAAAATTGAGATTAATTCACATAAATTGTTGCAATCAGCAAAATTGTACATTAAAAGAACGGCAAAATGGTTAAAGCTAAACGCAGAAAAAAGGAACAGGCCGACAGTCTGACTCCGAGTCTCTGTCTCTGACGGGTGCGCAGCCGTAGACCAGCAAATTAACGCTCAAATCAGCCCTGGAGCCAACATCAACCGGTAATACTTTAGATTAAGTGCATAAAAAAAAGGTGTTTTTTTAATTATATGTTTTTGGGGTGTAGATTAAGAATCTGAAATCCATTTTTGGCGGTCAGCATCGGAAATTTTTAATGGAACCTGTTCCTAACTGGACCTAACCTACAAGGTTTTCGTTGATTGGCTAGGTTTTTCCGGCCGTGGGGCCGGGACGGACTCCAAACATAGAAAAAACCTATTGGCTAGGTTTTTCCGGATGCCGGACGGACTCCAAAGTCCAAACATAGAAAACACCTAGCCGATCAATGAAAACCTAGCAGGTTAGGTCCGATGCCGACTGCCAAAAACGGATTTCAGATACTTAATCAGTTAATCTACACCCCAAAAACATAATTAAAAAAAACACCCTTTTTTTTGATGCACTTCATCTAAAGTAATACCCATCAACCATCTAAATGCTATAGATATTGTCATCCTGGCACCTAAGCAGCTGTAGTCAATTGACTTATCTCACATTAGACTAGTCAAAACAGACTCACCACACGAAGTCACTAACTTTAAACCAACACTGCTTCAGCACACAAGCTGCTACTCCACATAGTTAACGGATAACAGTCAATACGTTGTTCTCCAATACTTTATATATAACCCATACCAATGATACCATCACTTCTTACACATGCTGTTATCCTAAGTGTCTGCTGACCACACTGACACTGCATTGCTGCAAATGTGAACTGTACCAAAAGGTACCTAATGCATAGCCGTAGACCAGCAAATTAACGCTCAAATCAGCCCTGGAGCCAACATCAACCGGTAATACTTTAGATTAAGTGCATAAAAAAAAGGTGTTTTTTTAATTATATGTTTTTGGGGTGTAGATTAAGAATCTGAAATCCATTTTTGGCGGTCAGCATCGGAAATTTTTAATGGAACCTGTTCCTAACTGGACCTAACCTACAAGGTTTTCGTTGATTGGCTAGGTTTTTCCGGCCGTGGGGCCGGGACGGACTCCAAACATAGAAAAAACCTATTGGCTAGGTTTTTCCGGATGCCGGACGGACTCCAAAGTCCAAACATAGAAAACACCTAGCCGATCAATGAAAACCTAGCAGGTTAGGTCCGATGCCGACTGCCAAAAACGGATTTCAGATACTTAATCAGTTAATCTACACCCCAAAAACATAATTAAAAAAAACACCCTTTTTTTTGATGCACTTCATCTAAAGTAATACCCATCAACCATCTAAATGCTATAGATATTGTCATCCTGGCACCTAAGCAGCTGTAGTCAATTGACTTATCTCACATTAGACTAGTCAAAACAGACTCACCACACGAAGTCACTAACTTTAAACCAACACTGCTTCAGCACACAAGCTGCTACTCCACATAGTTAACGGATAACAGTCAATACGTTGTTCTCCAATACTTTATATATAACCCATACCAATGATACCATCACTTCTTACACATGCTGTTATCCTAAGTGTCTGCTGACCACACTGACACTGCATTGCTGCAAATGTGAACTCTACCAAAAGGTACCTAATGCATCATGCCATCATCACCTTACTTACTCTGCAAGACGTTAACCCTGCGTCACTGTTTTCCTGCCTTACTATCCACAGCATTTTCTTCCCCCCACACTTCCCCCAAGGGCCCCAAGATCCCCCAACTCTCCACCATTATTGCATGGCTAACTGGAGGCTTTTCTCGCAGACCTTTGGTGCTTATCCAAATTAGGTTAGGTTTGGTTACAACTTGTATAGATCCTCTTTTCATAGCGTAACTGCGTAATGCAGTCAAGTGAGCAGAAACTAAGAAAAGCCGTCCGGCACCGGCAGTTGGTGAAAAAAGGTGGGGAGATGGGGTAAGCGTGGACCGTGGAGGTAGTTATGCTGGGGGAAAACAGCTGCAACGAACGGACGGGCTGGAGTGCTGGCTGTGTATCAACAGCAGTATAGCGTAGGGAGTTGCTTACCAAAAATCGTGAGGTTAGACGGCATGGGATAGAGCTGTTGGGAACTTGGGCGGTTTTAAATATGGCATAGAGCGATTGTATTGGTGGCTTACTTCTCATTAGCTTGCTGGTTAATTTCCATGAAGGGGATTTGTACCTTTGGCTTTTAACATATAATCCCTTAGTCTAGGCTTACGCATGGAAAGGAGGATGAAAGATTTGCTGGTCTTGGGCAATGCTGGCCTGTGGCATGCATCCCACTCTGACAATGCCCAAAGAGGGATAGGCCTAATCAGGATCAGGGATGCAGCTTCTGTATTATCCAAGTCTGACTACTCTGAAACCAATTCTGCATCAATCACAATAACATCTCTGCAATACAAATGCCACTTCTCAGCCTTGATGACATATGACATTGTTCCACAATTCACCTACCACTAGTACTAGTGCAAATGAATTGATGAAGTTACACTGTACAAGTCTTACTACAAGACTTTGTGAATGAATGAATTGATGAAGTACAAGACTGGGCAGGGTGGTGGTGGCCCAGTGGTTAAAGTTCAGAGTACCAAGATTGGAGCAGAGAGGTGCGGGTTTGATCCCAGCTCTGTGCGCCAGTTTCTGGTCAGAATTGGCGAGGAAGGCTGAGCGGTTAAGCACAGTGCACACCAGAATGTGAGCAGTGAGGTAGGTCCTATGTCACTTGTGTGTTTGAGACCATATCAAGCTGTGAACGTTCTGCGATGTTAAGAATCGGCAACAGGTCTATGGCCTAATAAATGCTGAAACTGCTATTATTATTATTAAGACTTATGGTATCTTGTTGATGTGACCCTGAGATTGGGGATACATTTGAGGGTTTTCATCCCATGGGCAATGGGGATGATGATGATGGAAATGAAAGGCCATCCATCTGCAGGGCAAGTGCTCAGAGCCTTATGTTTTGTTGTGTATGACAGAATAATCTGCAGAAAACCGCACCACCGTGCCCCTGGGACTTTGGATAATGGATAGTGACTGACAAAGACAAACCACAAATTTTTTATAATCAGTTCATTTTTAATTTCTTTATCTACTAAAGATTCATAACTATTTTTTATGTATTATAATGCTGGTATAGTATCCATGATACTTTATTTTACTGGTCTCTTTATATGACTCAAAAATGAACTTGATGAAGAGTTAAAAAAATGTCTCTGCTTTGCCACCATGCTGACAGTGATGCATCTGACAATGAAGTCAGATGAACTAATGTGTGATCGTGATCCAGAGCTTACAGGATGGAATTAGAAAAATGATGGTTCATATATTTCTTCTTATTTCACTTAACTATACTGTCTGCCAGATTATTTTTTTATAGCCAGGTGGCAAGTATACCTGCTGGTCTGTATTTGAGTAATAATAAAAACTATTTGTTCTTCATAATTCCATAGACACTTTTTCAGGAATTTTTTAGAAGTAGTAAATGTATGATATCTTAACTTGCTTTGTGCTACATAGATAGCAAAAATGTTGAACTTTGCATCACTATTTTTAGTTTTGCAATATTTTAATTAGTTTAGCTGCTACAACATTTCTATGAAATGTGGGATGACTGTCCCGATATACCCTGCCCATCCCTTATTACCCATTTGACGATATTTCTATGTATGCAGGAACATGTCTAGTTTGATTGGTGTGTGATTTAATTAGCTTAAACAGGAATTATCTCTAATTTTATATTTGGGCAGAGCTCACAATCTTGGACTGACATTTTCATATGTTTTTGAAAAAATGAAATTTGGCGTAAAAGTAACATGATTTTGAAGAAAATTCACTTCTATATGATAGTTCATTTGAAAATCAATCATGATTTGGGCCAATATCTTGGTTCCAATGTGTCTAGTATTTCTTAGTCTCAATCAAATATTGGGACTTTCCAATAAGGATGCAGAACATTACAGGTGAGTTGCTAAGAATCTTGTTCACACAGCAATTATTTCTGGCTATAATTCAAAAGACTTTTCAAAAGATATAACAACAATAATCATGAATATATTTATGGAGAATTGTGCAGAATCAAATTATTATTGTGAGACCATTTTAATACATGAAATGAAACTGAATGGTACATTTTCAATTCAGGTTATTAGCCAAGAAGATGTTCTACCATGCTTATGATGGATATATGAAGTATGCATTTCCCTATGATGAACTGCGACCCATTTCCTGCGATGGTCATGACACCTGGGGAAGGTGAGTTTTCTTTTCCATTCCAACTTGCTTGATTACATGTATTTATTTTAATATTTCAGTACAAAATGCTCACCATAGGAATGTATGAAAAATTTTAATATACAAATAAATTTTTCCTATTGCATTGCTTCCAGTATTCAAGGTAACTTTTTTCCTTCAAAATTCTGATTAGACTTGCTGTGTAGAGAAAAAAATGTTGACTACATGAAAATAATAGCTTGTGATAACTGTTACTGTATCCTATAACTTCAAGCTAAAGGCTGTAATCTAATTAAATCTCTATGTTCCAGCTACTCTCTCACTCTAATTGATGCCTTGGACACTTTAGCCATCATAGGCAACAAAACTGAGTTCCAAAAAGTGGCAAAATTGGTACTTGAACGAGTGAATTTTGAATCCGACATCAATGTTTCAGTCTTTGAAACAAACATCCGCATTGTTGGTGGTCTTGTGAGTGCCCACCTCATGTACAAGAGGCAAGTCTCAATTCAATTTTTGGAAGTACTAGTTGAGTAATGTACTAGGGAGTGCTAGTTGAATTTAAGTGTCTGTATTAGTTGAATTATGTACTAGTAGGTGCTAGTTGAATTGGTTGTGCACTAGTCGAATTACATGTACTAGTAAGTGCTAAGTGAATTAAGTGTCTGATTATCAAAACTGTGTTTAATACAGTCTGTTTTAGAATTTGTATAAATTTTTACAGTGGTTATTGCAATACTGATTAGGAGTCCCCTAGAATATACTGCAATAAATTTTAATTCTGAGAAAAACTGTATTAATACAATATTCATTATTCAGGTGTTGACATAATTAAATATGTTAGCACTATTAACATGTATTCATAATTAAAGTTATCTTTCCTTGGTTTCCTGCTTAGCAAGATTTTGTATTCCAAAGGATGGGGATGGAGTTGGAGCCTGGCTACCCATGTTCTGGCCCGCTGCTGCGCCTTGCAGAGAAGGTTGCAAAGAAACTCTTACCTGCCTTCCACACAAAAACAGGTTTATTCTCAGTTGTAAGGAAAACCTAATAAAAACAATAAACTGGCCAGTTTGTAGCATCAAAGTGTTGGAGGTACTCCCTCACATTCAGCTTTTGAAGGTTATGTTGCAGAAGCAATGAATTAGTTTGCTAACTGTCAGAAGCTCAATTGCTCAGCCAAACTTTCTAATGAAATTTAATAAAGTTGGTGAACTAAAAATCAAGGTGAGACGGTGGTAATGAAATTAATATGGTTTACTTGATGATAATAGTTAATTACTTTGATACATGTTGGCACACTAACAAACATCATTAATGGATGAAGTGGAATAAGTATGATGAATTTTAATAATCCAAGCATGGGAAAAAATATCTCTGATGAAACACAATAAAAGAAATGGTGAAAGCAAGAGAACTAAAATCTCACAGAATTGCATGTGCACTGGTCTAGGGGGCGAGGCTTCTCATTGACTTGGGACTTTTCAGGGGTTATTGTCCTGTTCTTCAGTAGGCAGTTCAGTCTTCCAGACAAAGTTTGTTCAATACTTCACTGAGACTGGCCTACTGACTGACTCTACTTTGCACTGAACACTTTTCAACTTCAGCAAAACTGGTGAAGTTGAAAAGAAACTGAACACTTCAGCAAAACTGGTGACAAGATTACACAAATTCTTGAAATACTGAGCACTGTACATTTATGACCACAAACTTAGTTTGTCCGGAGCTAGGTAGTAATTAAGCAGTCAACCCTGTGGACTGTAGCAGCTTCTAAACACAACTCGCTGTTCTACAGCCATCAGTGCACAACTGCAGTCTCTGATTAGTAGTTTCACTGGAAAATACATTCCCTTGCTATAAGTGAATTGTAGCTTTGTTGTGAAATACGTTCACTGGCAATCTGTGATGAGTTTCATCATAGTCGACCTTCTCTGAAATATGACCTGTAGCTCCATCACGATCTTCATTCTCTGAAATATGACCTGTAGCTTCATCACGATCTTCATTCTCTGAAATATGACCTGTAGCTTCATCACGATCTTCATTCTCTGAAATATGACTTGTAGCTTCATTACGATCTACATTCTCTGAAATATGACCTGTAGCTTCATTACTATCTACATTCACGTGTGATCCGTCACAGTCAGTATCAGTTATCAATGGTGATCTCAGTGCAAGAGTGACCTGTTAGCAATCTTTCAATCGTTTATAGTGATCAGTAATCAATCAGCTGTTTATTGTTGTGATTAGAGATTCAATTTCTTTTTTTATTTACGATTAAAATGTACACTTATCAAATTGAAAATCGCATTTCAATATCTATTCCACCCTCCTCCTCCTCTCTGTGCAATGCCACGTGATCACCAAACAAAATGGAGAATATGTTAAGCCAGGTTCTATCTAGACACGATATCAGTCGAGGATTAACGCCTGAACAGGTCTTTTATATGTCCAACGTCAGGCTTCAAATAAACACAAAGAAAATATGCTTAAACTTTCACAAATATATAAATTTATTAATATTCTTCCTCATCAAATAATGTACAAATTGATTAAACTTCATCTGATTTATTTCTACTCAGAATTCCGTTATTTTTTTCTGAAAATTTCTGTATCTCAAAATTCAGGTGTTAGACAATTAAATTAATGATTATTGAGCATACAATTTTCAATTCGTCATCTTTTTTCTCTTGACGATACTTGATATCTATCTTGACTCTTATGCCATCCAACTAACTTCTGTTTTTAGCTCAATAATGACTATAAATTTATAAATAAATGTCTCTGCCAACTTGAGATCCCTGACAACTAGTTTGTGTTCAGGTATGCCGTACGGGACCGTGAACTTGCTCCATGGAGTTCCTTATGGCGAGACGCCCATCACCTGCACCGCCGGCACCGGGACGTTCTTGGTGGAGTTTGGTGCCTTGTCTCGACTTACCGGCGATCCTATTTATGAACAAGTAAGAAATTCAACACTAGGCACGATATTAAAAGTGGACTAGAGTCCTGAACTTGATAGTTTTGACGTTATTAAAATGATTGGCATTCTTTTACACCGCGCTTCTCTTTGCTGTTTGCTGTCTCCCATTTCTTGGCTTGCATCATTCTCATTGAAGGGTAGGTGGGCTGAGGCTTGTCAAGGGCTAAAACTTGTCTTTGTCCAGGTGTTATTGAGGTTTGTTCGTATCTTCATTCTTTGGCTTTATTCCCAGTGCCATGTGCTTGCAGTGTGTAGTGTTACACAATATAAAATTATCTCGTGCACGAATGAGGTAAGCAACAAGCGATGGTGTCTAGTATGCAAGCTTTGAGTGGCCCTCTCATTACTCTGTGTGTTCATTTATAGGCGATAACCGTTACGCCATGAGAGTTGACACAGCGAGCACTGCGGGTTATCTCGCCCAAAAATGTCATGCATTTGTTGTATAGCTTGGGACCGCAGTCTCATAATTTATTCGTGCCTACCTCAAAGGTCTGCCTAAATTTCCTGTCGCCTCACAAGTGATTGTTGATAATAAAAGTAAACAAACAAAGAGAAAAATGAAACTGTAACACTTAGGATGATTTATTCTGTGATAGTGTCAGAAGTGGCCAACTCGTGGCCCGATTACCAAGAAGTAAGTAAAACAATTATTTGTTTGATTAAGCACGAAGTAAAGAGTGTACAAGTGCCTTTAATTCGATCACAGGAGTATTAAAATGCTTAAAAATTGGCAGGTGGCTTTACGAGCCATGCTTGCAGTTTGGCGACAACGCTCATCAATAGATTTACTCGGCAATCATATTGACGTGACCACGGGGCGGTGGACGGCTCTCGATTCTGGCATAGGCAAGTTCACCATGTCATGTTATGTGCCTTTAATGTGTTTTATTGCAATATTATTATTGTAATTCACAGACCTCTGTCTCTACGACGATTTTTAGAGTTTCTTTTATCTGCACAATGCCTATTTCTCATTGACGTTCAAGTAAATAGAAATGTTTTTAGATTAAACTCTTTGTTATTTTCCAGGCGCTGGTGTCGATTCATATTTCGAATACCTTGTAAAAGGTGCGGCGCTCTTGCAGCGGCCAGAGCTCATGCAGGTAAATTGTAAATCCAATGCTAATAATTGAGGCATGGAAATGAGTTTCATAGTCGACGCTGCTCTGAAAATTATTTCTTATCTTATTATTCGATGCTTTCATTCTGATTTATTATTTCTGTTTTTCTTAGGGCTATTTACGATTATGTATTCAATAATAAAACTCATATTAAACCTTCTCGAACCCTTTCGAGTGTAATATTTCAACACATCAATCAATATATTTAATATGAAATAATTCACAATGACAATTTTCTGTGAGGATGTATGCGCCTGACCTGTGCAGATATTCGAGAGCGCGCGCGCCGCCATCGACTTGCACCTGAAGCACGACGACTGGTATCTGTGGGTGACCATGACGCGCGGCCACGTCACCATGCCAGTCTTCCAGTCCCTTGAAGCCTTCTGGCCTGGCGTCCTCACGTTGGCCGGTATACGCGCCATCATTCGTTTCCTTATCTCATTATTACTGAGCTCGTGTGAAAAGCAGTGCCTCATTGTTACGCATGTTTTCGTTCTATTGAAAAAACTTGCGTTTCAGGCATTCATGTCGGTTATTATCTGACAACAACCGCAATATTATGGCCTTGTTTCCGTTGGTCAATTTCTTTACCAATTGTACAAAAACATCCATGATAAATTTTATTGTTCACGTCCTCTGGTTTGAGTTTAGTTGTGTATGCCTTCATGAACATCACTCAAAGAACAATTTTCTGGCAGACCTGTGTTATATAATAGAAATGAAACTTTGTTTTTATTTTGGTTTAGCAGATTTACGTATGCGCAATTTATTTAATAAAAAGTTGTTGGTGAATCACATGTTCTCAGGAGACCTTGAAGCAGCACAGAAAACCATTCACAATTACCATCAAGTGTGGCGCCAGTACGGCTTCACTCCAGAGTCCTACAACATTCCTCAGGTTTGAACGAATTATGAAAAGTTAAGTAGATTGTGTTAATTAACTTTTTGCTAACCAATCAGTTTTAGATCCTCCCTCCTGTGTTGGAATTATTAACCGATGCAAGTTCATGCTAGTAAGACACTTGATTGTTGATTTATAACATTAACGTCACTTAGAGTTTGGTTTGCATCACTTATCCTATGACTATTTTCTGCTATATTTGCTCAGGGCGAGGCAGGCAGTAAGCGCGAAGGTTACCCCTTGAGACCGGAACTCATCGAAAGCATAATGTATCTTTTCCGCGCCACTGGAGACCGTTCATATCTCGCCATGGGTGCCGACATCATTACAAGCATTGAACACTCAACCAAAACTCACTGCGGCTATGCTACGGTGAGGAAGCTTTATCCTCATAATTAGCATCGACTTCAAATTTTTATTTCTTACTTTAAATATAATATATAATTTTAGTTCTAACAATTTTCAACTCTGATTTGCGCTATCAGGTACTGTTAGATTATTATTTTCTTAATTATGTTGTAAAAAATTAAGCGTTGTCAAAATATCAACACCTGAGTTCATAGTTCACCGAACTTGAAAATGGCGGTTGTAGAGTCTACTATAACAATTCTTTATGCTGTAGTTCCTGATTGGTGTTTTGCAACGAATTAATGTGTCAACAGGTGAAAAATGTTCGTAGTCATCAATTAGAGAACCGCATGGAAAGCTTTTTCTTGGCCGAGACCATCAAGTATTTGTATCTCCTGTTTGCCGAGGACCACTGGATGCACAACAATGGAGGCAGTGGCACAGTTTGGAAGCCTGCAGGCAAACAGCGCTGCATTTTGGATGCCGGAGGATATATTTTTAATTCAGGTTTGTAGTTACGACCTTGTTAGGGTCAAGCAATGGTATAAAATATTGTACACTTGAATTTGAAATTTTCATTTTAAATTATTCATCTTTCTGCTTTCCGATGAACCGCGATTTGTTGAATTATCTGATTTCTGAGTGTCACTCGCACGTACTTTGCAGAGGCACATCCCGTGGATCCGGGCGCTTTGTCGTGTTGTTCACCAAGTCCTGCCGAAGACCCTGAGAAGCCTTGGCTCTCTTTCACGCCCGAAGCTCTGGCTGATGTTATTCTTGATCCCAGCGCCAGCTGGCCACATACCTTCCCTGAAAATTCAAAAAAATATGATGGTGGGAAAATCCCAGTCCCACCGAATACTGAAGCCCAACGTGGTACGACTGCAGACACTACAGACAAGAGTGACGCCCTAGAGGCTAAATTATCAAGTGAAGAGCAAGGGCAGACTTCCGCAGGTATGCCTGGTCCATATGAAGAACAAGTCAGCATTGAGAAAGTTCAGCAAGATGCGTTGGTGGCCGTCAACGAAATGCATCGTAAAAATAGGTATTCAACTCCCGGTATAATTCAGAATGTGGCACAGGAGGCAAATATCGCTTCTAACCGCTCATCGATTTCTCAAGATTCATCATCTGACACGAACCAGCCAAATACCGATACCGTTGAAACTGATGAACTTCCCAAAACTAAAACACAAATCAGCAAAGACACTAAAGAGTTGGAACCTGATAGCAATCTCACAACTCCCAATCGTCCGTCAAAAAGATCAACAAAAACCGACTTGGATGATCACGCCACGGCAGTGACGCTCAATTTGCCCAGATTTGGGGCAATCATATCATCCGGCGACAATGCCTCTGATGGGGTAAAATCTACCATGGAAAATGCGGGCATCAGTACAAGCGTGTCAAGCTCAAAGTATTCGAACCCATCCGCTAGAGTTGGCTTGGCCGGGGCCAAAATTGTCAAAGATTTCCTTCAACCAATTTTGGAAAAGGTAATAAATTTATCACACGAAGGCGACTTTCTAAGAACATCTATTATCTTGCTCTTATTACCCATGCTGTTGGATTTTTCATCCGTTATGTAAATCCTGCAATACGTTTTGCTGTCGGGTCGAACAGACTTTACAAAAATTTAACATCTTGAAATTTCAGCTCGTGTGTCGATTTAAAAATTATTCGTCTGCCACTTTTTAAATACTTTTTCAATTTAAAACTAGGTATGTATTGTAAATTTTTATTATGAAATTATACATTTTTAAGGGACAGACTCGCATTGTTTGAATACCAATTCAAGCCATGCCCTGTTAAAAATTGACACTGTTGAACTGTTTTCTATTTAAATTTTCATGACAGTAATTGATTTCAATTAATTCGTCTGACGATTGTGTTTCAGAAGCCTAAAGCCATTGAGCTGGCGGGACCTAGCTTGCGTGAGGCGGTAATCGAGGGGTTGGCAGAGTATCTCAACTTTACGAGCAGAGCGCCCCACTCATTACTGTCGTGTCCTCACGTGCCCTACGCAACGATCCTCTCATTCAAAGGACAAATTATAGAAGTCTGAATGGTCTACGCTGTATTTAATCGTGTGAAATTTTGATATTGTAAAAGAATGGGTTACATAGTTTAACTTCACATTTCATGTTCAAGGAAGCATGCTCTTAGTTGAAGTTCAGGATCTTGTTGTTATTACCTAATAGGTTTTCTTCCGTTAATTTTTAAATTTACGTATATTATGAAAAACCTGAAAAATCGCCATTAGTTTTCCTAGCATATTCTTTAGTTTTCGTAGGTACCCAAGCTTGATTCACGTCCATTAATAGTAATCTACTGTCGTAGGACAGATTACTCCGTTCACGTGCCTGCGTTATACCTGGCATTTCTTGTTGGGTTCCCACGTTGCGGAGACATTATTACGTCTGCTCCATCGTTGAAAACAATTCTTCATGCGTTTGCACTGTTGGTGTTGTTCGGGGTTTAACAGCAAGTTCGGCATGTCAATTTGTTTTGTACCAAAAAATTGCAAAGGATGTTGAAATGAAGGTGTTACAAACGAATTATGCAGTATGTAGAAGAGATGGTAGAAGAGGATTTTTCTGGACGAAATTCGAGGTATCGGTTAAAGTCATTAAATCAGAGTCTAAATTAAATGTGCAATTGCAAGTTGGGACAATGAAACCACGAGATTTTGCCATTTTTATTTTTCACTATTTTCAGATTTTTTTGTACTTTTCTCAGTGCATGAACGTAAAGTATAACTGAGAACGAAACATTCGTATATGTCCGTCTTGCCTCAAAATTCACCCCCTAAAGATTCAGTTGAAAAGGAAAAGATCGAATTTCGTAGCACGGAAGGATTGTTCAATTGAAAATATCTTCATTTCCTGATGCAAGGTCAATATGAGACATGGTTCTACAAATACTTCGTTATTACGACACGAAAAAGACAGCTTAGCTTACGAGAATTACAACTACATCGCTGTACCAAATTTAACTTAGGCATTAATGCGTTCATGTACTCAAGTTGGACCAATAGAAGTCTTATTATATGAATGCAATGAGCTTCACCCTTATTGTATTCGATATCTATGAAATCTTCACTGTAGTAACGGTTAAGGTTACACAATGTCTCGGTTATAGTCCGATAAGTTGTAATGGTTAATTAAACTATGGCAAGTTCTCGAGGTCTAATGCTGAATACTAAGTGGTACTCCAAGTCGTTCTCCTAACCGAAAAAGAAATGATGGATCTAGAGCACGATTATACACAAATGTCACGCTGAAAACTAAGTTATGTTGCACTATTTCATGCACAAATTAAGCGAACTTGAAACTTTGCAACAATTTCAAAAATGGATAAATATCTCGAAAGAAAGAGTAGACAAATTAATTCTGCTCAGAAATCACGTGTCCTTGCATCATCATTCGGATGGTTTTCATCATTATAATGAAACCTTGTTCATATCGGACAAATTTACGAAATTCCACTTCGTAAAAAAATGAAATCACGCTATACAAAATGATATCCGTCAGCAAAATTCGAGCTTACTGAAGTCAGACTCCCATAACCAAAAGCAAAATTCGTTCTAATAGCAAATACGAGTTTCATCTTAACAGTAAAAAAAAGTTACAGGAAGAACTAAGTCAATGTTTCGGTGTAAAAAAACAGTAAATTCAATTACTAATACCTATATATATAACTAAGCTAGCAGGCACGAGAACCCAGGGTTCAAGGGGGAATTACATTCCATTTTGGTAGTACGATTTCAGTAACGATCAACGAAAATGTAACAAAAATAAAATACAACGATAGTGAACTTAGAATAAAATTAGCCTTTCCCCATGAACGCGAAAGAAAATTTATCATCAGCTAAGAATAAAGTACTTAGAAGATCACGGAAAATAGTCCATTGTGTAATGAAACCTTGCCTTAGTCAATTTCAGTAATGGAAAAGAAACTATTGTATCAACAATAGCAAATTGGTGAGCAAATGCTCACCAATAACGTCTGGGACGCACCGCAAAACCACCAAAAGCCGATAGGTCCACAACTCAGTCGAAACACAAGGTCCACGCACAGACCAGCACGTCAATCAACCAAACAAGTAACGAGTATAAAAAGCATACTATTGAGGTCCTGCTCTGGCCTTGTTCTTTCGCCTATTCCGGAACTTTCGTTGAAACATCTTGAGTTTCAACAAGTTTCGTCCCAAAATGAAGACTTCCACCGACTAACAAACTTAGCAAAAATGAACTCAATTCAAGCGGGCATATTACTCTAATATGAAGCAAAGGCGAACGAACAAGGCTCGAGCGGAGCCAGTACATGGGGCAGGTATGAGCAGACGCTTGCAAGCAGCTTAGTAGGCATCATCCTTAATGCGGCCGCCGTCGCCTTCAGATACGAACCTCTTGCGAGCGCTGAGGGAAAAAAATGAATCAATCTGATTAACTACAATTTATGATTAATGTGGCACAACCTCTAAGTCAATATAATGAAATTCATAATTAGTAGTAAAAATTACCGCAACTATTTATCACGAGTGTCGAGTGGTACATATAAAACTGAATTTTTTAGTACAAAAAAAATTGAAAATCAAAAATACTTTTTTCTCGACAAACAAATGAGTATTAACTAATAGTCTTGAAACGAAACATAATTTGCATAAAATTGTGAACTCACCGGATTGGCATCTTACGAGCCACGGCATCATCAATGATCTTCTCAGCGAGACACTTCTTGACAAATTTCTCGAGAACGGAATGTGCAGTGGGCACATCAAGACAAATTTGGGGCAAATCTTCATAAACCTGAAGGAAAGCGTAGGTGAAAACATGCATATCGTAAAAGAGTGCATAAAGAATTATAAATGAAGTAAATTTACACAAATACATGTGCTACAGAGATTGTATGACTTCACTCCTCAAGCCGATTTAGCTATAATCAATCACAAGCATTTCCATCGATAATAAATATTCGTACCCTATAGAAGCCTTCTTTCATCTGGTTGGAAGTGACGACAACAGAAGCCTGAAGTGCAGCCAAGAGCTTCGTCATGAGTACGAGGGAGCGATCATCTAGATTCTCTAGAGCCATCACGATGGCTTCATACACCTGTAGTGCATTACACCGCTTGATTGGTACATAATGACGTGAAACTTTTTTGTTTGACCCAACATTGTCTTGAGATCCAACATTTGTGTGCACTTATTATTTTCATTCAGCACTGAAACTGCTTCTCGCCAGTTTAGTCGTAAAACAAATAAATAAACAATGTCCTCATTTGTGAGCATCTTAATAAAATTAGGCATGGAGACATTCATGTCCCATTTAACTCACTAGTTCATGATGGAAGTGAGGAACCTCGAGCTCAACAAGGCAGCGCTGTGCCTCCTCTATGTCACAGGAAGAAAGATATTCCTTCAAGAGAAGAACCATCTTCTTGACGAGGTGCTTCACAGGCCGCGTCCCTCCGCCGACACCCCACACAGCATCCAAGCGCACCAGGCCGTGACGCATCGAGAGCAGCGACTGAGCGCGGTTCAGACAAACGGCCCCGTGGTCGCTCTCTATCTGTCAAGTGCATCACGAGCAACATGAACTCGCTATGCAGTTATAGACCGAAATTTGAGTCTCATAGCAGCCCAGCATGCAATGAAGTCAAGAATCTAATAGCATGGCAAAAGTAATGGCTGATAACAATATCACGTCAAGTGAAATATTGTTTATCCATTTTCATCCAAACTATGAAATTCTTTAACACAGTTTGAACCTTGTACTGCCTAACAGACAGAGTATTGATCCAACTTATTTACTTCTCATCAAACCGTAATATTGCAGAGAATAAAAGACATTGGAATTAACGACTAACTGAAGATTGAATATGAAAATTCAACGAGCAGCAAGGCTTATATAAAAAATGAAGAAGAAAGACACGAAGCGCTCGAGAGCTCACCTGGCCAATATATTGGGTGAGAAATTTGGGCGGAATGCAATCGTCGGCAATAGAGCGCGCGATGAAGTTGGCCAGGATAGTGGGGGCGGCTGGAGCGTCGAGGGCCAAATCATCGACGTTCTTAAGAAGAAGATCGTAACCTGTAACACGCGAGCAAAGCAATAAATGACGGGGCCTTTTAACATTAGCTAACAAATATGAGGAATAGTTTCAAGTGAAACGAAACTAAATAACTAGATATCAACGAGAGGTATCGCATCAACTAAAAGTATTAACAAGTCAAGTAGGAAGTGAAATCATACTTTGCATCAATAAGCAAATCACCCCCAAGAAGCGAAGAGTTATTGAGCAAAAAGTTCGCTAACTGCTCATTGAGAGCAAATCAGAAAAGTTCACTAAAGGAAATTGAGAGCAAATCAGAAGAAGATGCATGTGAGCGATGGCTGCAGGCCTTAGACATGCGGAGGTGGCATTCCACTGACCTGAGGCTGAGCAATAAAATAACAGCGCCACATTCGAGCTCATCAAATATTGATGCACAAATTTAGATCTTATAGCGAATTTTTTTTTGTTCCCACAATTTTGGTTTAAGATTCACAGACCTGAAGAATGGTATAACTATGCTTTTAATAATTAAATTATATTAATTAATATACAATTTAGATTATACCATCCGCTTGTATCTAGTTTAGATTATACAGATTATATAATCTAGTTCATATTACACAATTCAATCGTATAATCTAAACTTTAGATGAATGAAGTGATATTACAATGGAGGAATACGGCATACTTGCACAAAAGTTTGGATGAACGTCCATGTGAAAAATAAAATTAGACCTCTACTACTTGGAGTACTTTCACAAAAAAAAAAAAATTACTCGGGGTTTCAACAGATCCCATATTCCTTCACGGTAGACGAATTTAAAAGGCTTTTGAAACTGCATAGAGAGCTAAAATTGTCAATACTTGAATAATTTGAAGAATTAACGAACCCTTAGCATAATGTTCCTCCATGAGAGTGTGATGGTAGAGGTCAGCGATGAGGACGCTGGTCATCTCCCGGTGGGAAGGCTTGTGATCAATGGCGGCCTCCACAGCGGTCACCACCAGCAGGTGGCGCTGCTCTGGCGTCCACGGCAGCTCTTCGAGCGTGAAGTACGCTTCTTCAGTGTCGCCGTGGTCATAATATTCTTTAATTGCTGAGTAGATTAATTTCTGCAGGAAGAGCACAATGGAATTCGTTATAAATAAAGCTGCTCCTTACGAGAACTTAATACCGCTTGAACTTAAGATACATCAAAATTTTAACACCATGTCGGATTGCTAGACTGCTAAATTAGAAGGTGAAGAAAATAAAACATTGAGCTGCACATCAACTAATCATTTCATAAGTTGTGCACTTGGAAATTGTGCACACAACAAGCGGATAAATAAATAAAAAACTCACCAATATTAATAACAAATTCATTAAGTTTACTTTGGCATGGGAATACCTAAAATAACACTCGGGGAGAAAGGCAGCCGGTCTCTTGGGGTTTCATGTTTTACAAATTATTATTCGAGTGACGGTAAATGAAGAGCGGCACTTACACATATTTCTTCATCAGGTACAACTTTGGCTTGAGTTCCGGACGGCTGGCCATTCTTGAGAGGGGCCTCGATGAGTTGCGTAACCTTCATCTTTACGTCGCCGTTGTCCGGGTTGAGATCATCGTAGTTGGGGTCGTTGGGGTCGAGAGCCCCGGTATCAAAATCTTCTTCAAGCACTTCGGAGCCCAACTTTCCCCAAGTGCCCTTTCCTCCCGCTCCTCCTAAGAAAAGGTGAGAACAATTTAATTATTTATCTTGTTTGCCAGAGCTAATGGTTATTTGAAATTCATAAAAGCGTTTCAAGAAATCGAATAGACAATCATATTTTGGAATCCACGTAACAAAAGAGTAGGACTTGTGAAAACACAGAACCGAGAGTAGCAGCGCCACGTTTAATGAATATCAACATGTTTAAAGGCTTGCATGTTGTGATTAGACGAGCTCGATGTCAACAATATACATGCTCTATGTATCCGGAACTGATGAGCAAGTTAGGTATTCCATAAGACACATGGTTTACTGGCAGTTCTGAATGAGTGGTCTAAATCTTCGCAAATGTAAATTAGTAATTGTGTATCAAATAGGAAAAAGTTCGCTGAAGCTGCCAAGAAAGCAAACAACGTTTAGCACCTCAGAGACTCGAAGTAACAAGATATAAGCGGTGAAGAGCAACGAAGACAAAAACAATGTGTGGTTTACACGAGACGCGTGGCACTCCGATCGGGTGCGTAGTTAACGTCGGTTCCTATTGCTATACCACGCAGGTAATAATGGTGGTTTCTGCTCAGCTAACACCTCACTAGCAACAAACGCTCAACGCGCCGTTCACTTTAGCATTGAAAGAACGGTGGAAATACACGGTACTAGCCAACTTCAAACTCAATGAACTTGCCGACCGTTCCGAATCATCCTTTAGTAATAACGGAACAGTAGTTATAATTCAATTGAAAAAAAAAGTATTGAGGTAGGCTCATGCAAGGACCAAGCTAAGGACACAGTTGAACGTCAAGTGTTATCACAGTGTGACGACAACACTGAAATTCAGTTTAAAAAATCACAGTATTTAAAGCTTATATTGAGAGGAACAGGGATGGTTTTAGCTGAAGCCCCATCTATTTCAAGTTTTGCCATAGCAACACGGAGAGAAAGAGTTGTCTGGCGACATCTGGCATCGGAGCATCAAGTTTGCAACGGTGCCACATCATCGAGCCTCGGCACGTATACCAACACATGAACAATGAGAAACACCAAATAAGGAATAGAAGCACCAGCCTTACACGAAGAATTTTCTCGAATTCACTAATATTACAACTATCAAATGCCATAAAAAATTATTTTAAACGAGCCTCCGTTTGCAACCAATGATTATATGACGTGAACGAAACAACCATTCCTGGCATAATTAATTTAATATACTTTATGGGGTGTTCTAAAGCAGCATAACGGCTAATCGCCACGTGGAGAACCTACAAAAAAAACTGTTTTAATGTCGCTAGCGACCTTTGTAGCCACCCGATTGATCAATTGTTCTAAGTTTTCTGCCACAATCGATAGTGGCAAGAAATGGTTTTCAATTTCAATCACATCTTTGAGTGCCTAAAACATTGATACAGTCAACTGAACTCAACAGCAGTGATAAGAGAAAGTTCAATTAGTCCAGATCTTGCATGTTGTCTAAATAGTTTGCTGTTCTAAGATTCGTGACCCCAGCAAATCCTTCCAGGCAGTGGTGCTTGCCAGTGTGATGCTGCATGGTTACTTCGCCGTCAACAATTGAGTTAAAACAGGGAAATACGAGTACGAGACGTTTAAATGCGAGGAAATCGCCAAGACAAAAGCGGCTTTAAATAGATTTAAAAGCTAATTTACAGCACAAACCGCTAAAATTGATCACGCAGTACACGTCGCTCCGTGTTATCCTAAAGGAAACATGAAAACAATAATTTATTAATTCAATGGATCATATTTGTAATATATAAGTGCAACTAAACTAATCGTGTGGATAACACGAATGCAGCTTATTGTCTTCAGCGCCACACTTACATTCCGATTAAGACTGTTATTGTACCTAAAACTTATATGACTAGCATTACTATTGCCATGATGCAATAGAGTGCAGTATCAATGCACTGCGCAATACGATGGAAGGTGAGTCAAAAGACAAAAGACAACATGTGTGCAAGACAGCATGCGTTGCTAGAGCTAGTCGGGTGGCAGGCAGCAACTGCGTAGTACCAAACCCAGCTGCCAGTGCAAAGCGGCAAGCTTCTCTACTCTCTAGTAGCCTGACAAAGCCAAGCCTGGTTGAGTACACGTCTCAAGTCCTCAATACTAGGGTATTCTGAATTTACTAGTCTAGTAGCTATGACAGTTATGATAACGCTAGAAACTATCAAAAGAACATCAATGCAGCTAATAGTGTGACATTAACACCAGAGGTACGACGAGTGAAAATTGTCTGGACGACAGCAAGTAACAGGCCTATCTTAAAACAATGACTCAAACACGAAAGCCTTTCCTGAACCAAAAAACTAGTTTAATTTTACAAATTTGTACGAAAATCATCCCATTTAGATTAGATTTGGTAGAAGGATATCAAGTTTGAGAACCTAGTACGAAATTATTAAAATCAATTGAAAGTGGCACCCCCGCAGCTCACCACTGACAGAGAAATTTTACGGCTAAATCCGCCAAAGCCAGTCCGGCTTAGGCTCACGCCACGCGTTGTTCGCTACAGGTAATTAATAATGTTTGGATTTGAGTCTTATGTTGGTGATAAAGTAACCAAGCCGAAGAACATCAAAGCTAACCATCCTAATCAATACAGATAAGAGTATATTACGCACACTCTATACCCTATCGCATGCCAAGGGCTTACGAGCTTAGTTCTCGACAGTCGAGACTCGAGGCGTTTGTTACTACGCAACTGCGAACAAACAATTGTACGAAGTGAATTCGAACTTCGTCATGATAGGACACTTCCAAGACGAGTCGTGAACGTTGAATTGAAACATTCGGTGCTTAATAACTGCATTAGTCGTTCTAGGAATTAAATAGAATTTATTTCAATACATTAATTAAACAATTGGTAATTGAAAACTCATGAACGTAAGATATATTCTTCTGTGCATGTTCGGGACATTGCTCAGATGGCACAGGCATGGCTGCCTAGTTTGACTGAAAGAGCTACTTCGTTAGTGGCGGAATGACCTGAAAGCGCGTGTGACTGGAGCCGGCAAGCGCTCAAGAGCTCAGCAAAATGTTGACTTGACCTCTACTGCGTCGCAGAGGACAAAAGTGAAACGGCGGTCGAGTGCAGGCTCCCAGAGCACGGGTTGTACAGTAGAAGGCTGAATGCAATAGCTGCAGGCACCTCAACACTTCACTGGTAAATATGAATGTAAGTTATGAAAAAAAATAAAATAAAATAAACAGAGATTGGAAGCAAAGCATCATGCTCTGAGAACGGATACATTCATACACCCGATTCATAGCCAAATTAAAAATAAAGAACACGTTTCACAATTTAAAATTGAAAAGTACTATTCAAAATAGCAATAGCAGAACTACGAATCAAACAACTGCGGACTTGAACCTGGCAGGCGGATAGACGACCACATCTGTGCTCAGCCCAACACCTGATATTCACGCGAAGAGGACGACTGCGCAGTAACTTAGCCACTGGTCATGGGCCATACTTTTAAAACTCGTTAAGTGAACGTAAGTACTTACGCTCTATTTTCTTGTCTATGATTGGTGGATTTTGCTTGAAAGGCTGTTGTTGAACTTACGATCTCTAAATTTTTTGAAAGTATGGGCCCAGGCTACTTACTAGCGTATTATAAAAACAGAGTTTATCGAAACCGACAAAGTACTTACGTCGAAAGAGTTGAAATGATTCACACGTCTGTCATGTGGACAGCGGTAAAATACAGACTTCCTAATACTTCCTAGTACAAACTGCACTCTTGCCCAACAACAGACTCGCATTAACCCTTTTCAGCCCCAATTATTTTTTTTCTTGAAATTTCATTTTTTATCAAATTTTTGCTGTTGGCTCTACCTAATTGATTAGGAAAACGTCTCAGTTTGCTTTTCTCTACAATAGTATTGCTAGAATACGATGTGCCATATATGTACCACTGAGCATATGCAAGTACATTTTTTTTAGAAAAAAATGACTAACCCAACGAGAACATTTTTTGTTGATACCAATGCCAATATGAGGGCGGATGAGCGATAATCAGAGGAGGCGATCCATCGTGGCCTGGGACTGCTACGTCCCAAACAAATACTTAGGAAACTAAGGAAACAATGAAAATATTCTTGTTAAACAAATGAAAGTCGCGTTTTTGCACCAACTACGTGCAAAAACTAAAGAATCGACGAGCTAGGCGTTTCAAAAAGTTGGTCTTCAAAGACCAAGTGAATAAAAATCACTCAAAGTATTTAAATAAAACAAATAACGGGGAAATCAGTCCAGCCGCAGGTTTTGCATCATTAAGCGAATAAGGTCAAAAATAGTAAATTGAAGTTCGGAGCACGAGCCGCAGCCATATCACCATGCTTTCGTCCCAGCGTTGCAACTGAGATTATATCGGTTATACGAAATTCGTGGTAAAATTATACGTAAAATATTGCTTTTGATTCGCACAGCAGGTAAACTCAACGATCAAGTAGAAAAATACTCTTTCAATTATGTTCATCATTTGACAAAATCTGCCCGCAATGAACATTGGTGCACACCGTGCACAACGGCTGGACCATATGTAGAGTAAATTCTACAGCACCAGCTGCTATGTTCAAAAGTTTGAAGCAGATGATTGGTTGTACACCATTTAATTGTGACGCGTTTCTACAAAACTAGCATAAATCGCAGTAAGAGCGTCGTTCGTGGAACTTTCACTGGACGCGTTTCAGCTTCATTGCACACGCCGTCGTTGTCACGAGGTGGCACGCTTCCGACAATTGTGCGAATGTTTTGAAGGTCAAAAGTTTGTTTTGATTGTTTTGAAGGCACCAAATATAGCTGGTAGCCTTGATTCTTCACATTACTTGAATGATGCATAAGACGCCAAATGATGCTTGATGTCAGCAGCAGGTACCCACTACTCAATCGTTAATGGTCTAACAACCGCTAACGTAAACTGCATAATACAATGATAACGTAAAAAAATGAATGTTGCTTAACGAAAAATTTCAAGGCAGATAAGGAGAATAATGTGACTTGTGCATGCCCACGGAATTATCACGGATCCCGCTAAAGTTTTAGATGAACTGAATTAAGATAATAATGCTGTAATTTGATCGAGAGAAATTTCCAACACTATAGCGAGTGCGTATGAGCAGCCCAAGGTCAGATAACTCGCACCGCAAAGCGAGAAAGCGTCAAAACGCACGTTCTTCAGGCGCTGGCAAATTTAGGATTACGAGAAAACGAATAATAACCAAAACGTTAGCAGCATAAGCCGTACGCTTATGAACAAAGATGACACAAATAAAAGCAATACGTTTTTGAACTTCGATAAATAACTGCTTACTAATGATAAATAATAGGAAAATTATTGTTCTTAGGTCTACGAGTTAAGCCAATTCAAAAGTGAGAAAATATTAAGTCTAGCAGAAGAAAAGGAAGAAACGAACAATGCACCAGTAATTCATCAATCTGAAAAGTACTGCAACTCGAGATATCGCCACCGAACTTGGTTGTAGAGCTTGTTAATACAACTAATACATGAAACAAGTGAATAGCAGGCAAGACATCACTGTACCTAAACCCAATAATTGTGTTGCCCGATGCCTTAGCAACATAAAAATGCTAGGTTGTTGACCTGTACGACAGCTGCAGAATGACCTTCTTAGGCAGCGTCATCGCAATTCTATACTCTCGATCTCCCTTGCTAACCCGCGGTCTAGATTATAGTGCAAGAACTACCCACTCTTCTTCTTACTCAAGATCACGCTTGCTCCCCAGCAGGATCTACCTACATTATACTAGTGCAAGAACTTGCTACTCACGATCATGCTTTCTATTCCGCGAGGTCCAGATTATATTGCATGAACTACGTACTCAAAGTTTAGCACAAAAGAACCTGAGACAGATAAACCTAATGATGTTGGTTAACTTTCATTAATGCCAATATCAAACCATTGAAATCACTTGGCAATGAGGACAGTTAATACAGGTTTAAAAGCAAAAAGATAATCAATTTTCATTTTGTTTGATAGCATTTACTGCTGAAAACAATACTTGAATATTACCATCTCTAATTTCTATAAGCAGCAGCACTTAAACAAAAGCCAACACATCGTCATGAACTATAAAAACTGTAAGTAAAAGTAAATAAAATTCTCAAGATATGACATACATATACTTGGATGGAAACTAATTATGCAGCCAAGTGCCAACAAACATTGCTAACAGATTCCTGCAGAAATTCTCCAATAATTTTTAGCTAGTTGTAAATTAAAATATCCAGTGAACATTATACTAGTGAAGGTGTGGAAAATAGTTACATTTCAATCCACAAGAGCTTTCCTGCCATTTTATGGAGCTGGAGGCATGAGATTCATTCTAGATGAATTATTTTTCATCCATTTGTGAATGAAGTTGCATGATTTACTGGGAAGAAAATAGAAAAATTTCCCGAAAATTGTTACCATACAAAAAAAGCCACAAAATTTCAGTGCAAGGTTTCATTTGCCATACTTGAACCAGCACAGCAATAGACAATAGTGATTAGTGCCATCTATATAGTATTGCCAAACTGAGCTATTGATCACACTGTCAGATGAACTCGTGACTATTATATCATATATTATTTACTTAACAATCAAGAAAATGTTTCCAATCCATGCATCTTGCTGCTATGGAGTCAAGAGCTTAAATAAGCTGCTCATCTAATAGGCTAGTCTACAAACTACAGGTAGAAAGTCCCACTATAATTTGCAGTTAGCAGTTTTAGCACTCAAATCTTAAAATAACAACACATACAAAATATTTCTCATAGATCCAAAACATTTATGCCGATTTAAAAAAAAATATTTAAAAATAAAATATTAAAAAATTCAGTAACCCTTTAGAATTATAACATCTTTGGGAATTGGGAGCAAATCTCATGAGGGTCTGAACATTTGGTATTAATTGGGAGCAAATCTCATGAGGGTCTGAACATTTAATATAAATTATTACAGGCTTAGTCTGGCTTACAATTACCATATTAGAATAAGCATTAGGGCAATTAGGCAACAATCATTCAACAAATTCAACCAACATAAGTGATGTAGCAGTGCCACTGTGCCAGCAGACTGGCAGCCAGGAATGCAAGTCAAAGTAGGAGCGATTTGGCTATTTCCTAGGCAATACATTCTGCCTAGATTAAAATTTAACAGAAACTGATAGTTCGATTTTGTTATGTTTCTGCAGACAAGACCAAGTGGCTAGAAAATATAAATGGGATGTTCATTCATATCATATAATGATATATAAATCATGAAGACCTGTAACATCCTTGTAACAATGTAACCTTGTTAGAAATTTAATGGTTCTCATTCCCAACCTGCTGCAAAAAAAATTGAATATTCAAACAAAAAGACAAGTCGTAGCCTCGTAGCGACGTAGGTAAATATGTTTTTTTCTGGAGTCAAGTTTGTAGACATCGAAAACGGACTTACTCACTACAGTTTCTTGTTCGCGGACAAAGGATGGAAGAATTAATATTTTTTAACGGAGACATTGATAAACTAACCTTTCTTGGGCAGGCCGCGGCTGAAGCCGTTCCTTGAGCGTCGCGAGTTCTTCAGGGCTCTGCCTGGACCACCGACGGACGAGTCGGAATTGGTGCGGCTCAGCGCAAACTTAGAAGGACGCTTCGCCTTCCACTTGATGCGATCGTTAGGGAATGCGCCCGTTTCTCCATTAGCAATAACGCCATTGGTCCCATTACTTTCGCCTACATTTTCCTTCGACTCGGTGGGTGATCCATTAGCAGTCGCGTTACCAAGAAACTCGTCGAATTCCTTGTCACCAACAGAGGTGGTGCCATTCATTTCTCCTTGAAAACGGAATCCAACCTCAGCCATGCCGAACACTACTTGACTAGCAAGTTCTTCACTCTTATTGAATCTCGTTATTTAAAATATACTTATCAATACCCGGAAAACTTTGCGTCTCTTCGAAGTTCTAAATCTAAGATATAGAAACTAATAAGGATTCACTTAAATTACGGTCGACAGAAGATATCACTGCAGTACGGTTGGAGTCCTTCTGACAGCTGCTCAAAGCTTGGACCGCTAAGAGCCTCGTTTTGAACATGGCGTCATCAAGACTTCAACCAATGGGAGAGCTGCTGCCTGCTGAGTTACCAAGTGTCAATTAAAACACGAAAATAATACTTACACCTCAAAAGTGCAAGTCTTAACACTATGATATTAGTTTTAGAGTTTTTTATAGCATCAAATAATTTTAAGAAAATTTCTTACCGACTTAGAAACACAATTTATGAGTTTCGATAAAAATTTATAGACGAAATGATAAGAGGTTAACTAGAACGTAACAAAGATTGTCATGATTGCCTCTCACCAAAGATTGCCATGTTTTTGTCTCCAAAGATACAAAAATGTAACTCTTTTACTGTACGACACTTTGTTTTAGATATGATTTCGTTTGTTTTTAGGGAAAAAATTGTACCAGTATCTTAAACTCTTCTGAATTACGACTATGAAAAAAAGTAGTCTGAATTAATCATAAACAATATTTTCAATATACTCGTTTTTTTGTTACTCAAGGAATTGATTGGAAAACAATTATGAAAAAGAAATCCAAACGATTCGAATACAAAATAATATGAATAATTAAAGGAGAAAAGTCGCTCAAAACGTTCGGAATTTATTTCATAGTTTAAAATATCAAAATATTTCAGGGGTAAAAAATAAGAACAAAGGACAAAGGCAAAGAAAGCCCAGTTACAAATGTTTCAAGACATTTGAACTGAATTCTTAGGACACAACTTAAAATATACTCCAAATTCAGTAGCTTGCTTCCTTTTTATTTCAATTTAGCTCCACTTTTACCTTGAAACAATTTCTCTCATCCCTATACTGAGGTAATTAATTAATTGCTTCAGTTACCATCAGTAGACGTTTCAGTGACGATTACATGTTTTTTCTTTTCTCCATGTAGGTGTATAAGGAACCTCAGACCGTTCTGCAAAGCTTGTAGACAAAATACGTTGCTATCTTAATCGAAAGAATCTGTTTCCTCTATAGCTTTTTTTAACTTGCCAATTATCATTTCTGAATCAGGAATAACTTTCAATTCATCGAGGAATGTCAACGTCAAGTTTTTCAGTATATCGCCAAGTTCAATTCTGCCAATAGCCATATTGAGTATAGTGATAAAATTCCTTTTTGCTTATGGGACATTTCCCAGAGGCTGTACGGACTTGAAGAAATCCTAGACTTGAAGCTGAAGCTGCTTAAGTTCAACAATTTCTTTCTTGGCTGCTTACAGGTCGTTCAGAATAGCAACTTGTGCTTCAGAAAGATCGCATGAATCACATGAACTGGTATTGCTGTCAAGATTGAGTTCTTGCATTATATTCATTACATTTGTCCTAAGTTACGCGGAAAGAAATTGATATCGTTTTCCGAAGTCTAGCATTGCAGGTTGAGTTCTCTGATGGTTGCAGCGGCTTGCTCATAATGCTCGTAAGATACAAATCTGCATCGTATTTTTGATTACTCGATGTTTTCCAAATAAATTGATTTGTCGTTATCTTTGTCATCCTATCTAGGGTTCTTTTTGAAGCGTTACTCGACGTCTTCCATCGTTAACACGCCGTTCTCTTCACACCAACTTCGGTATGCACTGTACGATGTGCAACCTGAATCTGCATCCTATACATCATTTTCGAAATTATTTGTAGCTCGATGATGCGCCGCCGTTTCTTAATAAAATTCTTGAGCTTCAGGCCAGTTTTCTGCAAAATCGAGGGCGGGATTGCATTTGTCCTCCACGTACTGGGAATTTATCAAGTATAAGCCTTTTTCACCCCTATTTTTGGCTGTTGCTTCCTTCACATCCGTTGATCTTTCGGCTACATAAGGAATAGGGGGCTTGCCTAGGCGAAATTTGTGATATCTTCGCATCTTGTCTCAACAAATGACGAGAGGGACGACAGTTAAAGCTTTGAATTATAGTGCAGTGGACCATTTGCTTCGAATGTCGTAGATACAATACCAATGACGATAAATCTTATCTTCTTGCCTCACAGGCTATAGCTTCGATAATCTTTTCGTCAAATTGACTCTCATGTAGGAGTATCTAAAGCCTTCACATTAATAAAAAAACTGATTGATATTATTCATCAGATTAAGACTCATGCGAACCTTCAGCTAACAAAATACAATATATTCAGATTTCGAACTTTGCTAGAAATGTAAATTTGGAATTTCGATTCGAAGGGTAGGATGACGGATTAAAAATTAAATTGAAACTATATTATTAATGCAGCCACTCTGTGTGGATGCTAGATAATTCCACACCACCAAAACACAATATCCCGGCGCTGCCCCGACTCAACAGGAACTTGGAAACGAAATTGGAAACCTCTTCTTCGATGCTGAAACACCGGGTTTCTGTAACGGAACACATAAAAATATCCATACTCTTAATCAATAAAGTATTAGACACGAAGCGATTTAATTGTAGTTACTTTCAGGTTTTATTTTGGTTATTATAAATTATTTACTGTAGAGTGCTCATGCAAGAGGCAATCGTAGTAAAAAAATACGAGAGTTGATAAGTTTTAGGGATATACAATATATCAGGTTTTTCCTGATTAAAAGAAAGTAATCTATAATTATACCAAAAGAAGCTTTGCTTATTCAAAAAAATGTTCAGCTACCCATAAGTAATGGCGATTCATAAATTATATGCAAAACATAGTTAAACCATGTTAATATTTTTCTTTCAGTCGGACAATTTTCACGTCGTTCCAGTTGGAAGAACTGGAGAAAGCTTTCAAGGAGTCGCACTATCCTGACGTCTACGCGCGTGAGATGATAAGCCTGAAGACCGAATACAAGTGAGTCTTCGTTCCTGCATGATGTAAATCAGTGGTTCCCAAACTTTTTCAGGCTGGCGCCCCCTTTGGCTACCTAGTGAACTTCTAGCGCCCCCCACAGACACATATAAAAACATACGCCTCTTTCTTGAAATTTAGTACGCTGCAACTTTGATAGATAAATGTTAAACACAAATGTGTATTTCACAAATAGAACCCCATTTAGTAAACCAATATGTTTTTAAGCTGTTTTAACTGTTTCAGCACTAGAAACCTATATATAGGACGCCTCGGGCAAATTCACGGCCGGACTCGTGGCCAGTCACACGACCAATCTCCAAATTCAATTATCAAGTAATATCTCCCAAACTAATGAACGCAGCTCAAGGAAACTTGGAACATATATTCATCAGAACCTAGCGTTGATTTTTAGCTCGTAAAAAATTTTAAATTTCACCTTCATTCGTGAGTTATATTGCGATAAAGGCCGAAATTCGCAGTAATCAAAGAATTTCTTCCAAACTACTGAACAGATTTGAACGAAATTTTGAATAAACATTCCTAACTACCAAGCGTTGATTTTTTTGGCTTTTAAAAAATTTTGATTTAACCTTCGTTTGCGAGTTTTTTTTTCATATGTCGCTTTAATTCGGGTAATTTGTCTTCCCGGATAATTTGTCGCTTTAAATTCGCGACGATCAAGAAATTTCTTCTAAACTACTGAACAGATTTCAACGAAACTTTGCATATAAATACCTAACCTCTCAACGGTAATGTTTAGCTCGCGACAATTTTTCTATTTTGTTTTCGTTCGCGAGTTATACAGATATAGGAGGAACGACCGGCTTTTCTACCGGCAGGTTTAACCAATTAAGAGCCGTTTATGTATATCCGTATACGTATATATAGCCATATAACTCGCAAACGAAGGCAAAATGAAGAAAAAATTGTTACGAGCTGAATATCACCGTTGCTGAGGTTAGGTATTTAAATACTAAGTTTCGTTCAAATCCATTCAGTAGTTTTGGAAGGAATTTCTTGATTACTGCGAATTTAAGCACGTATTGCTGTTTAAATCACGAATGAAGGTGAAATGAAGAAAAAACTCGCGAACAAAGGCAAAATCGAATATAATTTCATGAGCTAAACATATTCGGTAGTTAGGACTGTAAATTCAAAATTTCGTTCGAATCTGCTCAATAGTTTGGAAAAAAATTCTTGATTACCCGGTACTGTGAATTTCGGCCCGTATTGCCATATAACTATGGCAAAAACAAATGAAGGCAAAATAAAAAAAAAATTCGCGAGCTTAACATAACCGTTAGGTTTTAATGAATACGTGTAACAAGTTTCATCGAGTTAAGTTCATTAGTTTGAGAGATTTTACTTGAACATTGCATTTGGAAATATGCCGTGAGATCGGCCGCGAATCCGGCAGTTAATTTGTCCGAGACGTAAACCCAGGAGAGGTTAAAAAAAACAGATCTGGGTGAAAAAAACATCGCTGGATGTCATGATGTGCTGCACGTGTTGTGTATAAATGGTCAAACAGACGTTCGAACTTCTGACTTCGGACTACCGCCCCCCTATCGCCCCCCAAACGCCCTCTTCTTCCTTACCGCCCTCCAAAATCGTTCCACCGCCCCTAGAGGGCGGTGGAAACCGCCCCTATTCAGTATCAGTAAGCAAGCATTCAGTATCAGGAATGGTAGAACCTGAAAACCGACCGCCGTGAGACCTAATTCAGGACTTAAAGAAGACGAAGTACAGGCATTCTTCAAAATATTGTTTCTTTTTAGTTAAATTGCGGACTAATTATTTTGTGGAGAAATAAATTTGAAATCGTTCGCTCAAGCGCAAACGTTCAATTATTGGAACGTCAACCCGAAGTGTGATTGTAGACCCCAAAATAGGATGGCAATAATTATATACTAATGCGGTTTGCGAGTGGGAAAAGTTCTACATTCGTAAATTATCTATTGTCACTGAATTGGTGGAAACCATTAATAAAACATAAATGATAATTTTAAGACAGCGTTTTAAAACTCATTAAAGCAATAAATGATCATAAAACCATATCAAAACATTTTCGTGATCATACTGTGCCGAGACCACGAGTCTCTAACGTGCCATTGCATGGCGCTATCTCTCCTCCTAGACCGATTGGATTGGACTCCACGTATCATCTAATTCAGATCTAATAAGAAGAAGCAGCCAGGCGTTGTACTGCCGCTGTGTGTGTACAAAATATATATCTATATAAAGACCTGCATGATCATAGAGCTCATCTCAAAACTTGCATTGGCTCCCGCGGTGAAATTGAGCGCGAAAACTTCTAATGAGAGAAAGGGAATCGGCCAAAGAAGCCTACCGACGATGCAGCTCAGCTCGGTGTCGTTGTAATGAAGAAACGATTTAAGCTGCGGGACAGATTTTATTAGTGATTCGTCTTTACGGGCGAAACTGAAACTTTTAGCAATTGTATTAATTTATTAACTATACTTAATTTGTTATTGTTCTGTATGCAATGTGATACATATGCTCAAATGAAAACAAATAAGAAATATCCATGAAATTTCTTTAAAAAAGTATTTATAAGTGGTTTACAAATAAACAGGCATGGGTCGTCTGAAACATTTAGAGAAATTAGAAAACAAAACAAAACCTATGATACGAACGACTTAATTTTTGCGATTAATATATTTCGCTGTGTAACATTTCATTTTTCTGATGATACATTGCTTATTATTTTATTTCAGATCGCGAGAAGTTTACTCACGTGTTTCGTGAATTTCAATGCCTAAATTGACGATCCTTTATAGCGCATTTTCTCATTTATGGAAAAAATGCACTATTGTGCTCGCCATGTCCGTCTGTCCGTCCGTCCGTGACCTCAAGTTTTCGTCGACGAGAAAATGCGCTCTCTGTCACTCACTTCAGTGAGTACTGAGTTATATTTTTTTTAGAATTGGACCTTTTAGACTTGCACGACAAATGTACAAAATTGTAGTACCATTTAAGGATCTTAGATTAAGAAATTGCACCTTATGTTAAAAATTGGAATTCCAAATCATTACTGTTACTGTACCGTGACTCCAATATTTGCTTGTAGTCACGAACTATAATCAGCCCAACCGCACGGCTAGCTAGCGGCAATGAATAATGAAATAAATGAATCAACAGTCAGTAGAACTTCAGATCCCATCCGGTGCAGACTTGTCCACTTTGGTCTCATCATCAGTTAGTCTTCACCGTAATTCGAGTACCTATTCGACCAACTAGTTCTCTGGGCGCTTTTCACCTGATGGGTACACCTTCGCCGTATCTCCTGAGTTATTCCTACTCTCACGGAGACGTTCGCTACTCCCACGACGAGCAGTATGTGCCGGTGGTAACGTGGATGGTCAACCTGTCTTGGCGGTTGGCTTTGGGAGGTGTTGAGATCTGCAGGGAGGCCCACGATCTTAGCGCTGATGGCCCCACGGCGAGATCACGGTACGAGTCCAGGGAGTGTTCGTGTTCTCATTCATTCAGTATGGAACTGTTTCCGATCGCTGAGCAAGTTCCTTTAATATAAAAAGCTTCTACGTCATAAACCATTTAATCAGTTAGTTTGAATTGGAATTCTAATTTACATTCTAATTTAAAATCACTTTGAAATTCTGTAATTGAAACCTTTGTGAACTATTTGCAGGCGTGTGAAGTGGCGCTAAAGGTGGAAGATGCCTGGAAGGAGTCTGGGTCAGAAGCCTTACTAGCTTCTGAGTTTGGTTCAATAAACTTGTATCGTGCTTTGACTTTAGTCCATTTTCCCCATTATTTAGTGCAACAAATGATCAAAATCAGCAATTGCAGCATTTTACATTCGTACTTCATCTCTACAATTTTGGAAAAATATTTGCTGATCATTATGTATTAAAAACATGGTTTAGTATACCCACAATTTGAAACAAGAACCAGGGGCCACGGCTATAAACTAAAAAACTGCTTTGTAACACATCCATGCGACAACATTTCTTCTCGCTTCGAGTCACCGACATGTGGAACACTGGAACAGCCTCCCTGATAGCATCGTTGACGCTCTGAGTATGAACGCCTTCAAGAACAGACTATAGTCACTAGACGGGGTCGCCTGCCAAAGACCACAATTGCCCTGGATGTAATGGACGTTCATGATTCCTGCCTTAAGGAACGTATCCTTCAACACTTCAAGCCGTCCGTATCTAGGCCGTGGGTCGAACCAGCCCTCGGTCGCACGGCCACTTGTCGAAGGACGATAAATATGCTGTAGGGCCTGCTGCGCTCCGGCCAGTTGTGCTCCGGCCTGTGACTGAACTGCGCTGTTGTGGTGGGCGCTTTGTATCAAAAGCCGTGAAGATGCCCGGCTGCGTTATGCTCAGGAAGGTATATGAATCGCACTGTGGACTTGGGCTATGCTGACCTCTAGCTATCCACCCGACGGACGGACATGGCGAGCACAATAGTGCATTTTTTTCTATCAATGAGAAAATGCGCTAAAAATAAAACAGCGAAAAGAAAACATGTCAAGACAACGTAATGATTATGCAATATGATCTTACTAAAGCTTTGCGCAAGCACGATTTTAGCACATGTCATTGAAATTTCTATCAAACGCTTATGGCTACATCGATCTGTCTGATTTTTGGTGGAGAGATGGAGAAAAACATAGGGAACAAATAATGACCTTCCAAATTTTTTCAACTCTAGCTATTACTTTTCGAGTTACAGCCATTCATAGTTGCAAACGCTTATGGCTACATCGGTCTGTCTGATTTTTGGTGGAGAGATGGAGAAAACATAGGGAACTAATAATGACCTTCCAAATTTTTTCAACTCTATTACTTTTCGAGTTACAGCCATTCAAAGTTGATTATCGTTTTTTTGGGACACCCCGTACGTCTGAAACGAAAACAAACAAATCTTATAGCTACATAAACATCATTGTTAGGTCCTAGTGGATGCATGTGCAAAGTTTCATCGAGTTTTGTTATTTAATTTTGAAGATATTTCATGTTCACCTCACAGTTGCCACTCGTCCGCTGAAATGCTGAGTGCCTCTCCAGATGGCAAATAAATATAAATCCCAAATGAAGCTGTACATAATTGGAACTTCTACACGACACCAACATCGCTGTTAAAATTCCTTCAATACACCTTTCTGAGTGATATTTGGGGTGCAACCAGGGGAACTCTATCCAGCTCAACCTTTGTAAGGCCTGCCTTATGTAAGAAGTGCCTTCGTTTGCCTCTACATGAATAATGCTGTTCCATTTTCTCCATCAGAGCCCGGCTAATACGTTAGTCCTTTTATACCAGTTTCTAAATGTAAAGGTAGTAATTGGCCGCCTGGCTTCAAGAAGCTCCAGGCTGCGCGGCTTAGGCTTGACCTTCAGCTGGACTAAGCTAGTGCTGTGACTTTTAAATGAGGCAAAGTGTAGGGCATGCCTCGAGTAAAAACTAATCGGGGGGGCACCTATTGTAGAATGTTATTGGGCCACCTCTCTGAGGAGGCCCATGTGTATATAGATCAATGTGGAAAACCTGTGCTATGGGAATCTATTGACTTGTAGCCAATTTTTGAAATGGGTTTCATGAATCATGCTCATATCGAAAATTTGTGCCTTCCTGCAGAGCATCTTATTTCAAATAACTGTGATATTGCGAAGTGTTACCAGTTTGGCTGTGCCGTATTTTACGGCTCTGCCGTGTTGCACGGCTCTGGCGGACGGTGGCGGGTGCCACGACTTTGACGTGTGCCACGACTCTGGCGTGTGCCACGGCTCCACCGTGCCTTGTTCTCTTCAACAGGTTTGCTGTCCATGCTACAAATTCCTGTCTTGGGGCTACATGGACGTGTCTCCAAAACTCCCATTAAACAACAACTAGAAGAAGAAGAACATCGCCGTTAGGTGATTTGGAATTAATATTCAAAGTTACGTTGTAATCTTTTCAGAAGTTTAGAAACTATTTTAAGTTCACTGCTAATTTTGACCCGTATAAGTTGGAAACGAAGGCGAAATCGAATAACTAATTACGAGCTAAACATGACCTTTAGGTCATATTAACGCATGCACATCAGTTTCAACGAGCTGCGTGCATTAGTTTGGGAGATATTTTATGTGCACTCTGAATCTTGCAGACCGGCCGGAGTATTGTCCGAGAGGCCTGACTGTTCTGCACCTGGCCTTAACTCATGTTCCCTCGACTCTCAAAAAAAAAAAAAAAAAAAAAAAACACTGACCAATCTAACCTCATTGGCTTCAGGAAGAAAGAAAAGTGGAAAAATGTTCAGACAGAGCCGGTTATTGGCTGCAAGGAGGCGAAGAGTCGCGGTAACCTTAGTAGGTTAGGCCAGACGCAGAAAAGCCTGCTTAAGCAGTGGCTGTGGAGTTTCGGCTTTAGGTTTTGAACAGTACGAGACTGGATAGGCTTACAGTGTCCAGCGTGCACTGCGACTTCAATCTGTGACCCACGATGGGTCTCCATCAGGGCAACCTAAGCCTTCCACAATTTTGTTGGTTGGTACTTTAAATATCCTTGGCGATGATCAGGTCTAAAACTAGTTTCAGTAACGTAGGACTCCTAATATATGCATGTTCTACACGAGACTTAGCTTGCTAGTGTCAGGTCTGTTCTTGATGGTGTTCAAGGTCAGTGCCTCTCTTGGTAATTGGTATTGGAGTTCGACAAAGAATTTATTCTACTAACATACATGCTTATCTTATCTTCGTCTCACTATCACAGAGGACAAAAGTTTGCTTCACCAGTCTTGCAGTATTTCACTAAATAGGTAAAAACTTCAAGAGAAAATAGCCAAAATAAAATTGCCTGAAGGCGTCAATTGCCTAATTGCGTCAATCAACCTATGTTGCTAATGAAAATTCGACAAATCAATCACTCCAGTTGAAATCTCATACTTGAATAGCTCCCACACTCCTGCTAGAATTAGAAACTTGGAAATTAGACTATTAGCTTTCCATAGCATTTAGTTTGTAAATAAAATATCAATAGGCATTTTGATATTATGATACTGAGGAGAGAGACAAACCAGTGCAGAAATGCCCTGGCGGACCAGCAGACTCAGTAATATTTGAACGATGTAAGTTTGTTGACAAGAAAACCATTCGAAGCAGGGTTAAGGTTGACCTTCATGCTATTTTCAGGTTAATTCAACAGGTTCAGAAATTATTGAATAATTCAATCTTCAGCTTGAATATTCAATGGGATCAGTTTTCTCATAAAAACACCAACATTATTTGTTTTCTGGTATAATTATCACCAAGAGCTTGTTCCTTATGGAACAAAAAGATTATTTAACGCTTTCAAGTATGTATATACAAGTAGAATTCATTAAGTAAAACATTATTGAGGTACAGTGGCAGCAATAAAAATCAAAGTCGAGTTTTAAATGATTTGCTGAAATAATATTTCAATCAATATCAAGATGAACAGTTCAAAAATTGAAAGTAATTGATAGAATTAAACACCTTCAAAATAAATCAATCTTAGAATGAGGATGAAATTAATGAAATTTTTAAGCAAGTCTCTCATAACAAAATATAATTTAGAATTCATACGCCCAAGTCGAAAGCACATTAACACTTCAGATTTTTTCCTGCAAACAATTCTTATTTTACAAAGGAAGTCCTAAGGAACATTTTCCCGCCACAACTTTTTGAAATAACATAGCAGACGGTCTTAATTATCATATTTATTTCCGCTACGAAGCAATAATACAAGAGGGACAACCCGGGGCTGTCATCTTAGATGATGATCTCCATATCACCGAGCTCTTCCTCGGACGGCAGCTCGACCTGATCCTCGGGCACCAGATTGCGGTCGATGTGCGGCAGCCCTGCGGACTCCCGACGCCGGATCTCAAGGTATGCTTCTCGTATGGCCCAGTCGTGCATCCTGCAACACAGCCATTAATGTATCACATGGCAGGACTCGCCCAGTCATGCATCCTGCAACACAGCCATTAATGTATCACATGGCAGGACTCGCCCAGTCGTGCATCCTGCAACACAGCCATTAATGTATCACATGACAGGACTCGCCCAGTCGTGCATCCTGCAACACAACAATTGGAGTCATTCAAGAACTGACAGAGGGATGGGTGCTGATGAACATTGCGTTTGAAACACCAGATTATTCGGCTCCTGGGTAAGATGGAATCCCTGCAGTGTTATACTGAAAAAATGTGTCGGTGTACTATAAGTCCCTCTGACTTTGCTCTGGAAAACATCATTGAGAGAAGAAAACGTCCCTATTTACCGAAAATTAGGGCTAATAACTCCAGTCTATAACTTAAGTGCGAAAGACAAACCCTCAAATTGCAGGCCTATTACATTAACATCATCATGTAGTAATCAAGGTGTATAAGAAGGTCGTGGCCAAAAGGTTGGTGCAGTACATGGAGGAGCTGCCCTTGTCAACAGAAGGCAACACGGTTTTAGACGAAATCGCTCCTACTTGTCTCAGTTACTGGAGCATCACCACCAAATCCTGGCCATGCTGGAGGAGCTGGCTGGGGTGCGTGGTGTATTTTACATCGCAAAAGCGTTTGACAAAGTTGACAATTGAGTGCTCTTTAAATTAAATTAATTAATTAAAAAATAACGACTACTGGGGGTCGGGGGTGAATTGGTGGCATGGATTCACACTTTCCTAACTGAAAAACTATAAGCTGTCGTTTTTGGAGGCTTCAGATCGAGCGAACTAGGGTGAAGAGTGGAGTACTCGGTTTACGGCCCAAACCTCTTCCTCATCCACATTGCCGACATAGATGTGGCAGTGAACCACGCCTCTGCATGTCATTCGAGGACGACATCAGGATACTAATAACTATTATAGACAGGACTGACTGTGAGAGTTTGCAAGAAGACCTCTCTGCAATATATGACCGGGCCCAAGTGAACAATATGCAGTTCAACGGAAGTAAGTTTCAGACTCTGAAATACAGAGGTAGCGAAAGAGCTGGTATGCAGCACCGCTACCTTGCGCGTGACTGCTCAGAAATCGGAGAAAAGCGACTCGTTCGCGAGCTAGGCGTATTGATGAATACTCGATCACGTTTGGTGATGACATAGTGGCAATAACCGCAAGAGGTAGGCGACAGATGGGGTGGATCTGGCGAACGTTCAGAACAAGAGAAGCGGAACCGATGATCACCCTCTTTATAGAGTCCATGTAATTACCTATCCTTGAATACTGCTGCCAGCTCTGTACTTCGTTCACACTCGGCGCAGTGCAGCAACTGGCAGGGGAGGGGGGGGGGGGGGGGGCGGGAGAGGTATGTCATTCTGTACACATGAAAAATAACCGGAACATCACCAAGCTTTGTGGGCGAGACTTTCAGGATTTAAACATAACAAGACGAGAGAAGGAGGAGACTGTACAGGATTCCCCCATTACGTAACAGATCTGCGGCGAGATTTCAATCCCTGTGGGAAGGACGTTTTTCCGTGGCAGGGCCGAGGCTGTTTAACGTCCTAACAAATGATGCAAGAGAGGCCGAGTTCACCCTGGAGACCTTCAAGAGACGACTGGACGTGTTCCTGGGCACTAGGTATCTCAGATTGACCGCCTCAGCACCACTACTGGCGGCGAGAAGCAAGCAACAGCATCGTGCATCAGCTGGCTCAAATGAGGGCGGATGAGCGACAATCAGAGGCGGCGATTCATCGTGGTCTGGAACTGCTACGTCCGAAACATATACTAAGGGCACTGAGGTTGTAACCGAGAATGCAGGCGTGACAAACTTGTTGCCCACATAAACATGGTCGAACATAATTTGCTGCCGGTGCCAAGAAGTCGCCAACCAAATTAATTCAGTTTTTGTTGTTGAGTTGGTGCCAGTTGCAACAAAGGCACAATTTGATAAGGCATCTATGGAGACAGACATACTGTTTTTTCTACACAATGCTGCATGGTCCGCCAGTGAACAGTAACTATAAATTTGGGTTTAGTCAGCAAACATATGTGTAGTCACATCATGTGACTAGATTCTTCGCAAAAAGCTAATAAAATATAATAAAAAGAGAACCAGGCTGAGGACTGAGCCCTGTGGTAAAATGAAGCCCTGTGTGACTGACGATGGCGTAAAAGAACAGAAGCTGTGACAAAGGCTTTTGAGGCTATTGCTGAGGTAAAACTCCAAAATAACACACACAGGCCACACAAGACATCAAGTCGTTGCAATGAGGTGACATGATCAATAATTTAAAATCAATTTTTACCATCAGAAATAGGCATAATTCTAAATCTATGCTTGGAAAATTATACTTTACAATCGTGTCAAATGGTAGATTTAAATGAATTGAAGCTTGAAGAAATACAAACTAGTACAAAAAGTTGTTTTTTGAAAGACAAAGACACAGAAACGAGCATAAGTCAACATGAAATCAATAGAACAAAAATAAATACAAACTTATCAATAAACAATGATGCAAAATTCTACATTCATATCAAGAAATTTAATAAGAAAATGAACATGAAATACATAATATTCCAGAAGATAAACATCATGAAATCTTACTGTGAAGAAGGGCAATAAGCGATGAAGTAGCCACCAGTTACCATCATCAGGGTGACCAAGCAAAAGAAGAACACGTGTATGAAGGTGGCGTCCTGTTCTCTGTCATTTGGGTCCCAGCCCCAGCTCACCCAGTGCTGCAACATAACACAAATTCAATCTTCAGAAGATTAGCAACAAAAATGGCAGTACTGAATTTAAAATTCTATCAGCCATTTTGATTTTACAGGCGAAAATTCCCATACAACGAAAAAAAACCAGCTGTCATATAGCATGTAAAATAAGTTTTTGAATTTTAGAGTCACAATTATACATTATTAGCAAAAATGACATGTCAAATCAAAAAATTGAAAACATGAGCTAGTTTTTGTTAAAAAATTATATATATTCTGCATAAATTAAGCAAAGACTTGTTCTGCACATCCTTTTGCATGGCAAAACTCAGCTGACCAAATTTGGCATGAAAAAATTACTGCAACAGCTCCATTTGCTCCAGACAGAAATGCAGGCAAGGTTTGTTCACAAAATGTAGCTAAAAATAAGCTCCTAAAATTAGCATTCTAAAATTGCAAGTAAAAATATCCTGTTTGGATATACTGGCACATATGGTCATTGCTCAAAAAAGGATAGCTCTGATGATAAGCAAATTTTTTGGGAGCCATGTTCCTTGATTCTCCTTTTAGTTATTAGTCAGTTTATTCATATAATGATAAATCAGATATAACAATAATTGTACATTCTTAATTATTGATGTCATTTCTCTTTGGTTTCTCTTACCAGTATCCCATTTGATTTAATACAGAATCATTAGTAGAAGTAAAGGGAAATCAGTTGGTATATATGACAAGATTATGTTTTCAACTTGATTAACTTTCAAAAATTATTCACTTATGAAAATCTGTTCATCTTCCAAAGATACCATAACTTGGTGTTGAATTGTCATTCAACAGAATTAGAGTTAGTGCATAGAAGATAGTACATTGCAATGCATTTCCAAAATTGATAGAATGTTGTTGTAATGTCAATGAGAGCCTGCATTCTTAAGGACACTCAATTTACATGATGTATTAATCTCTCATTATTTTTCAGATCCTTAAAGAACAGAAGCAGGCATGGACGAGGACATGGAACTGAAAGCAGGCATGTTGAAGAGAGGCCTAGGCCTGTTCTAACCGCACCTGTGTGCTACCGTCTGACCATGCGTGTTTGCTACGATCTCACTGCACCTGTAAGCTGTGATATCCCTGCACCTTTTCGTTACAGCCTCACTAGGCCTGTTTGCTACGGTCTTATGCACCCATTTGCAAAGGTCTGTACCGATTGGGACTCTTAAGCTTTACCTATGTAACAATATTGAGGATCTATCAATTACTGATGGATTTACATAAGGAAGTGCTGGGGCGCTAACAAACCAAATCACTAGGACAATAAAGAAGCTTTGTCTTGCATCAGGACAATGCCTCTCCTATGCTAATACCATTCATTCTTGTACACCATTTTGCCTCGATTAAATTGTCAAATTTGCCTCTGAACGTATTTTTTCACTTGGTAATTTATACATGTGTATTGGGTAAGTCAGGGTTATCTCCCAAGACCTGGTTTCCTGAGTTCCCAGAAGTCTCCTGCCAGCTGGTAAAGATGCTGCGATGCATGATGGAGAAGTTCGAGTTTAACTTTTCAAATATGAGTGCAACTGTGAACCACAAATTTTGTGCACCAATTAGCCGTGAATAGAACGCCTAGCGCATTTATGTGCATGAGCAAACATCAGCGGCAGATCAAGTCTGCCGCCAGTAACCTGCCCATGACACAATAATATAATAATAGTATTAGCGGTTTCAGAGTTTATTCCGCCATAGGCCTGTTGCCGATTATTGACATTGCAAAACGTTCACACTTTGTTGTGGTCTCGAACATGCAATACACTGCACCGATTTGGCTGTGCATAACCCCCCAGCCTCAAAGTGTGTAGAGCAGGCCTATCTACAAAATTTCATGTTGGTCTAAATATTTTCTTAATGCAAATTAACTCACATTTACCTTCCATTGAAAATAACTGAAATTTTTATAAGATGTTTATCATCACAAATGGATTTCTGCCTAGAATCACACAAGACATGTCTTAAATTGCTCATAAGAGTCTCATCATGTTAAGGATATTTTGTTTCTTAAATTATATTAGTCATAGCTATAAGGTAGTAGCCTTTTCAAGTCATTCTGATTGAGCTTAATTTCATTGCAGGTGAACCGTTTTTGTTCACTGGTTGATCAAAACATCTTAACAAGTGTTTCCCGAACTTTGTATGTTCGACTCTTTTATTTTTCTTCATCATAGAATTTATCATTCCACAAATATTCAAGTCCGCGGTTTAGTACCACGCTCTCGTCATACTCGTATATATTAAACTGTGACGACAGCCAGAACGTTATGTTGAAGATGAAGATCTTGAACTCAACTCTCAGCCTCTCGTAAAATGTGTTATATTTTTTGCAATATCGTGAGGTAGGCATTAGCATGAGCTAAACTACATGTGAATAAGGGAATAATGTTTAACTGCTATTTCTAGGGCAAAATTTGAGTTTACTTGTGATCTGCGCGTGTGCCGCTGCCAGCTTTGCCGCCAAGAGTTCGCAACTTTGTGGTTCAAGAATGGCTTTCCACAGCTTGAGAAATAGGCTTATGTGAAAATTCATTAGTTCGTAGCTCACAGAATTGATGTTTTCCTGCCCTGGTGGAGTGTGGAGTGAATAGACAGTTTGACAATTCTGCTCACCCTGCACTCCAGGTGACCATTTTATTCCAAGGAAGGTCTTGTAGATGAAGATGGCTATTTCAAATCAGTTGTAAGACGAAAACTGCAATTTTAGTTATCATTGGACGCCGATGTAAGGGCAAAGTGGCCCTAGTGGCAAAGCAGAGTTTTTTTAGAGTCCTACTCAGATTAAATTTTGAGTCTTATAAGTAGACCAGCAAAGTTTAGTGGAATTTTTTTAGAATCAGTTCATTTTTAGTTTTCTCATTTATTCAAGTTTCAGGCCACTATCTTCTGTCTGATAATGTTGGTATGATGGTATCCATGTCAGACACGGATACCAACATTATCAGACATAAGATGGTGCCATGGTGGCCTCAATCTTGAATA